TCCAGATTTTATTAGACCTACAAGAAGCACTGCCTGAACATCACGCAAAAAGTGGGTGCTAGAAACAATATCATATGAAAGCTGACTGGCACAACTTGGGGATCACAACCAGACACAGTGAAGACATCTGCCCTTGCGCTATGCTACTCTGCTGCTGAGTATGCATGCCCGGTGTAGAACACATCTCATCACGCTAAAACAGTGGGTGTGGCTCAATGAGACATGCTGCATTATCACGGGGTATCTGCGCCCTACACCACTGGAGAAATTACACTGTCTAGCCGGTATCGCACCACCTGACATCCGCCGGGAAGTAGCAGCCAATAGTGAAAGGACCAAGGGAGTGACATCTCCAGCCCATCCCTTGTTTGGGTATCAGCCACACACGTCAATGACTTAAATCAAGAAATAGTTTTCTAAGATCTACAGAGACACTCGCTGGAACACCCCAGCAAGCGAGAGTCCAAAAGTGGAAGGCTCAAACCCAGAACCTCAATCAATGGCTGATACCAAATGAGAGACTCCCCCTGGGCACACAGAAAACTGGGCCACTTGGAAGGTGCTGAACAGACTGCACTCTGGCACCACGAGATGCAGAGCCAACCTCAAGAAATGGGGCTACAAAGTGGAATCCACAACATGAGTGTGTGGAGAAGAGCAAACTACAGACCACCTGCTGCAATGCAACCTGAGCCCTGCCACATGCACAATGGAGGACCTTCTTGCGGCAACACCAGAGGCACTCTAAGTGGCCAGCTATTGGTCAAAGGACATTTAATCAACTACCAAGCTTGCAGATTCTGTGTTTTGTCTGTTTGTTTGTTTGTTTGTTTTTGTTAAAAATGTAATACAAATGTCTGGTTGCTGATGACACTATAAATAAATAAAATAAATAAATAAGTCCAAATGTATTATTATTTTTATTATTTCTTACCTGTCTCTTCTCATGGAGAGGAAAGGAATGGGTTAGGTTCAGTGAATCTAAAGAGCTATATATAGGCTAGGCCTGCACGAACCTGTGGCCCTCCAGCTGTCTTGGACTTCAACTCCTGAAATTCCTCTCAACTGAACAAGCTGTCTAGGGTTTCAGGGAGTTGGAGGCACTGACACCTGAAGGGGCACAGGTTGTGTAGGCCTGATAGAGGTCTGATAGAGGTCATCATTGCTTAATGTCCAGTGCTTAACTGGAAGTGATTGATAATTTCAGATAAACAATTTAAAAAGAAATAAAGAGAATGAACAGGCAAGTCACACACTCAGCCCCATGATAAAGTTACTTTAGGATCACCATACATCAGAAACTTGAAGGCACCTGAGGTGCAACAACAGCAATCTCTGTGAGAGAGCCAGTTTGGTGTTGTGACTTGTTAGACCGGGATCCTAGAGGACAAGGGTTCAGATCCCTACCTAGCCATGGGGAAAATCACCTGTGAGCAAATTTTGCTAAGAAATCCTCATGTCAGGGTCACCATAAATCAGAGTCAATTTGGAATCCCTCTAGATATTTTGGACTTTTTATCAGCCTAGGTGAAACCACCAACTATTAGACATTGCCTGTACTCCATGAACGTCAAGAAGCCTATAGAGTCATCTTCGTTGTAATAAACACTCAGCTAGCCACAAGATCCCTTGAACTTGTCACAACATACTTCCAAACAGATACATATGGATGGGACTGTAAAAACTTGGAAAGACACCCCCACCCAGCACACTTATTTGTTATCAGTTCACCTAAAGGGCATCCATTTTAGTATCGTAAAATGGGATGAGTCAGAGACTGTAAAATAAGGTATTGGACATTTCCTCAGCTGTAATCATTCTCAAAATGTTATTAGCCCTACAGAAGTGAATAGGGTTGTGTTCGACAACAGGGAGATGGAAGTACAAGATACATAAATGACTCAGTTTTGCTAATTGTAGAATTAACAGCAGCTTTGAAGGTATTTATGCTTAAAAAGTGATTTAGGAAGAAAACAATAAGCAATTCTCACAATGATTAGAGCCCTTCCCTCCCCGGCCACTTTAAAGTGAATATTTCACTTAGCCTAATCCAATTCATTTGGATAGACATACCTAAAGGGAATACATCTTTGGGTTGAGAAGAAAGAGGTATATCTGTTGTTTTTTCCCCAAGTAGTCAAAATCAGCTAAGACTGGGGGGAGGGGGCACAGAAGAAGGCGTGAAGGCGTTCTCCTCACCTCCCTCTGGAGAATGCAATGTAGGTGGCTGCTTTATGTAAGAAAAAGAGAAAATGTCAAGTAATAAAAATGACATGTGATTAACTTTACCTGCAGTTTGAGCCTGTGATGGCTGTTCCCTAAGGGCAGAGATCATTGAACTCCAGTTAGTGCAGTTAGTTACCTCCTTATATATGATTGTCTCCTGGAATCTCAGTGAATCCATTAGATTTCAAGGGTGGGCCGTTTTCATAGTTCTTCCACCCCTTCAGGGGTAGGTTGTAGCTGTGAAACTAGTCCTGACCAGGAAGTGATTTGTCCATGACAAATCAGATATATTGATCACCTCTACCAACAGATCCATATGTTCTGAGATGAAAATCGCATCAAGGGTATGACCCGCCAAATGCATTGGTCCAAAAACCAATTGGGATAGGCCCATGTTTGTCATCAATACCATTAAGTCCCAAGCTGCACCTGACAAATTGGCCTCCAGTGGTATGTTGAAGTCACCCAGAAGCAAAAGTCTGGGTGACTCCAACAACACCTCCGAAATCAGTTCTGTGAGCTCAACCAGGGAGTCTGTTAGACAGCGGGGTGGACGGTACACTAGTCTATCCCTGGTTTTTAGACTCAGGTACAGACATTCAATGTGATTCAGCTCCCTTATAGGCACACTGGTCAGGTTAAGATTGTCTTTATAGACCACAGCTACCTTACCCCCCACCCACTGCCCACTTTCCCTCACCTGTTTACACAGTACCCTGTTGGGAGGGGCTGAGCACAGGTTTGAGCACTATCATCTCTCAACCAAATTTCAGTGAAGCATGCCAGGTCAGCCCCTTCATCACTAAGAAGATCATAGATGATATGAGTCTTAGTCTTGACTGACCTGGCATTGTTCAAGAGCAAGGTGTGGTTTGGTGGGTTGATTGGCTCACTCTCCAAGTTGCCCAGGTTGGCCAGGTGACTTGAAGGTGGGATACTTATTAAACACCTTTCTCCCCTTCCTCTATGAGGACATGTGACCCTGCCATCACCATATCTCCTGCTGCCGTGCACAACTTCTATTGCCGCCCCAGTTTCCAGGCATATTGAATTAAAAACAGCAATACAGGGACAAACAAACCACCAACAACAGAAAAGGAAAAACTTGGAAGACACACCATCAATGCGTGTATTCCTTGTCAATCAAGCCAATTAGCTGGCTAGTCCAATAGCCCCCTCCTCCTACCAGGGGACTGCTTTGTAGCCAGCTATATGTTTCTGGGTAGCCCTCTCACTGCTGCCCAGTCCTTTGGCTGGCTCTCTCACCACCTGTTGGTGAAACAGTCCCAGAGTGACCAGTATCCACCCAGAGGGCTGATTTTTTTTACAGATACAACATGTAACATATTAAAATAGAATATAGGCAATAAGTATGCATTCCATTTAAAATCCCGTGGCCTCCTCCTGCAGAATTCTGGGATCCAGGACCTTTCTGGCTGAGCATTTTAAAGGCTCCTCCCCATAACTACAAAACCCCAAATTCTGCAGAAGACAGTCACAGGATTTAAAATGAGATGCATATTCTTTGCCTACTTTTTCAGCTCTAGTGTGATATGGGACACAATAGAGCAGGGGTTCCCAAAGCGTGCTCTGTGGGGATTTATGAAGCATATTGAGGGGCTCCACAGTTCCCTCCTCCTCTCCACCCCCTCCCAAGCCTTTCCTCCTCTTTTCTGCTCCTCTCTCTGCCTCCTTTACCACCAAAATCCATTTTTCTTTGCTTCCCTCGCCACCCAGATCCTTTCCCCCTCGCCTTGCTTGCATCCAAAACCCTATTTCCCTCCCACCACTCAGGGGGTGTTTTGGTTGTGCTTTTCCTGCATGGCAGAAGGGAGTTGACCTGGATGGCCCCTGGGGTTGCTCCTATTATTATTATTATTATTATTATTATTATTATTATTATTGTTATTATTACAAAAGCTGGATGGTGATCTGTTGTGGGTGCTTTGATTGTGCTTTTCCTGCCTGACAGAAGGGGGTTGGACTGGATGACCCCTGGGGTCTTCCATTGAAATACTGTTAAGTTGATGTTGGCAAAAAAGTTTGCCCGTACATATACATAATATATAATATAAACATTTCTTGGGACTCTACGAAAAACTTTTGCTTCAAAAAGAGTTCTGTGAACAAAAAAGGTTTGAGAACCCCTGCAACAGAGCAATGGATTCAAATTGCAGGAAAAAAGATGCCACCTAAACATTAAGAATAACTTCCTGATGCGAAGAGCTATTGAGCATGGAATATGCTGCTGTAGGGCTTTTCCACACAGCCCTATATCCCAGAATATCAAGACAGAAAATCCCACAATATCTGCTTTGAACTGGGTTATCAGAGTCCACACTTAGATAAAATGGGATTTCCTGCCTTGATATTCTGAGATACAGAACTGTGTGGAAGGGTCCCCAGAGTCTGTTGGAGTCTCCTTTGGAGGTTTTTCAGCAGAGCCTGGATGGCTATCTTTCAGGAGTGCTTTGGCTTTGTGTTACTTCATGACAGATTGGGGCTGGATTGGATGGCCCTTGGGTTCTCTTCCAACCCTTTGATTCTATTCTATGATTCAGATTGGCTTTCCGTCCTTTGCCTTTGCCTATCCCCTTTGCCAGTCTTTGTGGCTAAAGTACAGTGGGGTTGGGCTCTGGCTGAACTCCTTGCATCAAGTCTTTTTCCTGTGGGTAGGAGTTTTTCTTCCTTTCTTTAAACAAGTGTGGTAAGCAGGGAGCCTAGGCTTGGCTGCCCAGGCAGATCTTGCCCATACAGGTGTGCATAACTCGCAGGAATGCCAGACAAACCTGAGTCACTGAGAGAGAGAGAGACGTCTCTTGCCACTCACTCACTATCTCCCCTTCCCTCCCATGTGTGCGCACACACACACCTGAGCTGAAAGAAAACTTCTCTTTCCCCACTCTCACTTGCCCAAGTGCTATTTGCCCAGCTATTATAGCAATCCAACGCTTCCATATGTCTCGGGTGGAAGAAGACAGCCTGAAGGAGCACTGAAGGAAAAGCAAGAGCAACAGGAAAAGAGAGAGAGAGAGAGAAGGGAGGGGGAAAGGTGGAAGGCAAGGTCTGCTCCATAGAAGCCAGGCGCCCTGCAGAGGTATGTCACATTCACAAGCTCTTCCTTCCTTCCTGAGGATTTCAACTTGGCCTCTAAAACAAAAGAGGGTTTTCCAATTTCTGACGGGGAGGGGATAGCAGGGGAGAAACTGAGGGTGAGAGACAGGACTTTGCTTTGGAAATGGCACTGAAGCAGTGAAGTTTTTCTCCCCGGCACAACTGGAGGAATTTCTTGGCTGGGTATGTGCGGCGGGTGCCTGTTATTTGGATTGTTGCACAGGATTTGGACTTTGAATCAGACCCAACACTAATGAGGTTTGTGGGATTAATTCATTTCTGCTCTGGGCTGCTCCGTTCTGCTTTTTAATGTTGTTTCTTGCCTATCGATTAACTAGAAGAAGTGAAATGAGGTGTGGGGATACTTATGCAGGTAGGACAGCGAGAAGATGTGTTCGGTGCACATTTACACTCGAAATGTGGGGCTTTCGTGTTTTTTGTCTTTGCACTGCTTGATCCTGGCACCAGTTGTTGATCAACCAGTTTGATGTTGCAGGGCAAAGCAATTTTTTCCCTTTCCTCAGGGAGGCAATTTTTAAAAATTAACTGTATCTACCCACACATACCAACTCATATTGTGAAATCATGAATGTCATTTCTATTAGTTTGAAGCTTTTGAAAGAAAATCGAAATGTTTCTGGAAATAGTATCCTACTCCCTGGGCAAGAATCCTGTACTGTTCACAATTGTATAGTCGGAAGGTATTCAACCAGTAAATTGTATTCAGGCATGATGATAAGAAAGCTTTTTCCTGTTGAGTTTCTACCTGTCGCACACAGATATTTTTGTGAAACACACAGGAATTCATGAAGAATAAAAGGTGGGATTTGTCCTGTGAGGCAGAGGTTGCTTTGTTATGAGATTAAACATTTAACAGCTTTTAGGCTTATTGATGCCTACTCATGCTACAGAGACTTTACTTGTCAGACTAAGAATCTTTAAACCGGGTAGTGTTGTAATTGCTGCTTAATTGAAAAAAATGTATTTACCCAGATTTCAGATTTTTTTTTAAAAAAAATAGTGTGTTGAGCAAGTAAATGAGGGAAAGGATTAAGTCAAGCAGGCAATGTGTACAAGGCTGAATTTGAGATTAAATTGAATGTTTAATGGAGGGGAAAAAGTAGCAGGTGCGGCAGAGTTATGAATAAAATGAGATTGTATGTGAAGGATGGGTAACAAGACAGGAGAGCAGAAAATAGAGATGGACCTCATAACACTAGAGAATGAATCCACTTAAATCTGGTTGCTGCCTCCTGCAGGATTATGGGGTTTATAGTTTAGGGGGGAGCCTTTAACAGCCTCACTAAACTACTAACCCCAGGATTCAGCAGGAGGCAGAAACCGGATTTAAAGTGTATTCTTTCTCTAGAGCAGGGGTCTTCAAACTTTTTAAACAGAGGGCCAGGTCACAGTCCCTCAAACTGTTGGAGGGCCGGATTATAATTTGAAAAAAACATGAATGAATCCCAGTGCACAATTTTAACACATATAAATTTATTAATATTTCAATGGGAAGTGTGGGCCTGTTTTTGGCTGATGAGATAGGATTGTTGTTGTTGTTGTTGTTGTGTGCTTTCAAGTCATTACAGACTTAGGTTGACCCTGAGCGAGGGCCAGGTAAATGACCTTGGAGGGCCGCATCCGGCCCCCGGACCTTAGTTTGAGGACCCCTGCTCTAGAGTGACAAATTAGAAAGTGCAAACAAATCTTAATTCATGAGTTTGGCCAGCCCCATAATTTCAGTCTTGTGCTTGGGCTCAGCCATGTCATCTGTAAAATAGTGATAAAAGGAGTGCTTCTGAACATGTATGTGCATATTATCTTTCCTCTCCCCACTGGACCAGACTACAAGTTTTGAGATTCTGGATAGGGAAATGGACTGACCGCCTGTTAGGGGAGTCATTTTGGATTTTAACAGGAGAAAAATTCAGCAATGTACTTAATCTTGGTTATAATATTAGATTTCAATTGCATTTTTAAAAGATGGATGCTAATTGTAACAGTTATTCTGCCTCTGAATAGCTGTTACAGTTTATCTATACAGGCTAGATGGGAACATCTATCTATCATCTATCTATCTATCTATCTATCTATCTATCTATCTATCTATCTATCTATCCATCTTGTCTGAAGCAAAACTACTGATAAGTGTATTTGTGTCCATCACAGACACAATTTTTAACAGTCACGTAAGTGTGTAGAATTACTGAAAAACTGACCACTGCCACACCCATCTCTCCCTATGCCTTCTACCAACAGGCATTCCTTCTGCACAGTAATTGCTTGGTCAGATGCAGCCGCAAAGCATAGTGTGTCCTTAGCAAGAGATTCTGAACAGCTCCCTTCCACCAGCACCTCTGAAAAATTATTAAGCTTTTTTCTGCATTCATGAAATTTATTATTTATTCTGTCAGAAGCGAACCAAAGGTACAGTTGTAATGTATTTAAAAAAACACAATGTTTTAAAATCTTGGCATTATACTAAATGTCCTTTGACCAGAAGCTGGCCACTTGGAGTGCCTCTGGTGTTGCCATAAGGAAGTCCTCCATTGTGCATGTAGCAGGGCTAAGGTTGCATTGTAATAGGTGGTCTGTGGTTTGCTCTTCTCCACACTCGCATGTTGAGGACTCCACTTTGTGGCCCCATTTCTTAATTCATGAGATAAATTATAGGCGTGTACATATCATCTGGAAGGAAAGAAAAAGAAAACCAGACTGTTGAGAGGGACATTTTTGAGGTCTGGCATTGTTGAACAGTGCCTAAAGGACCACCTGGTCTTTCTGGAAAGGAAGCAAATAAATGAGGTTAGAGCTACACCTCTATGGGTTATGCTGTTCAAGGGTTTACGGTGTGCCTACATAAAGAATGAGGCTTATCTCTGAAGTGCCCCACCTTGTCCAAATTGTTCCATGCTCATTCTCCTTTTAGCTGAGATTTACGGCTAACCCATTGCTGGCAGTGTACTCTCTTCTTGCCCATTCATGCTTCAAGTTGACTGGACTTTGCCAGAACTGCCATGTGTTAACCAAATAGAGTGCAGACTTGAGACATGATGTTTTCTCTACTCCCATGAGAGATAGCAAATCGTGTAGTGGCAATAACAAGGGAGTGATATTACCTCTGTCTGGATATCCTTTTGTAGACTGCTGCAGCAGTGGAAACAGAAAGTCTTTTCCATTGCAGAGGGCATTCGTTTTAGGTTGAACATCCCTTATCTGGAATTCCAAAATACCCCAAAATCCCAGTTTGGAATAGAATGGCAGAGCATCTCTGATTAATCATGGGCTTCTCTATCTGCAAATAATCTGGTTGGGATATGGCTCTGTCCCTTGTTCAAAATGACAGTAGTACTGATAGTTAGAGAGATAATGTGATGTAGTGCTTAGGATGTTGGACTGGGATTGGAAACCAGCAAGATCTGGAATTTTGAATTTTGAATATACTCATTTGTCTGCTTCTGAATATTTGCAAATAATATCTGGCATGTGATGGATGGGGCAGTGATGGTCCAGATTAGTGCTCCATGTGGTCTATTGAGAACAGTCTCAGAATGTTAATGTTTAGGAAAGAAGTCTATAGAAACAATGACAATGCACACATGTCTGCAAACTGTTTGCATATATTTATTTCCTCATTACGCTTGCCTCCTTCTTTATTATCCTCTTCGGTTACTTCTGAAGAGGTTAGATTGCAAATTCATTAGGGCAGTGGTCCTTCTTTTTTGTCTGTTCTCCAAACCAGCAAGTACATTCTGATTGCCATCCGTCACAGGAACACTCCCCATCTTGCTACAGAGTAAACCTGGAGGCTTTTATCACAGTGATCGACAAATGGCACATGCCTTTGATCTGGAAATTACCTTTTACTTCCTGTATGCTGCAAGTTCTAGCCTTATCTCTTTAATTCTCTTTAGGGGGAAGCCAGGTAACTGCTGAACTTGTACTGCAATCAGACAAAACACTTTGAGTACAAAAAGGGTCTGTAAAAATTGATAAGAAACCCTTTTTATTTGGGAGGAAATAAAAATCTGCATATTCAAACTGTCCAATATCTTTGTGCTGTATAACCTAGAGCCCTACAACACCTGTTTTATTGCAGGCTGCCAGATTTTCAATACAAAAGCTTTCTAGTTGTCATGCCCTTCTACTGACTTCTATTGCTTCAATTCTCATATTTTGCCTTTATACGGCTTCCAAGCTGCTCTGTATATAGTTGGAACAATCCTCCTTTTCCAGATCTCTCAATCCCCTCCTCTAATTTTCTCTTTCAATTTCTTGTCCTCGCAAAGGATTTCATGAGTCATTATAACCTCTTTCTCAATTTCTTTTTCTTGTACTTCCTCCTGTTGATTGGAATTATAGAGTTGGAAGAGGATCACAAAGGTCATCTTGTCCAATCCTCTTTGACCATGCAGGAATACACAATCAAAGCATTCTTTACAGATGGTCATCCAGCCTCTCTTCCAAAACCTCCAGAGAAGGGGCAGTGTATATTCCTGTGAAAGACCTCTTGCCACTAGGAATTTTTTCCTGATATTTAAGTGGAATTTCCTTTCCTATAATTTGAATCTGATGCCCAGTGTCTAAGGGTACATCTACACTGCAGAATTAATGCAATTTAACAGTGCTGGTACCTCACCAAACTATAACTTCCATGATTCCATAACATTGAACCATGGCATTTAAATGGTGTCAAATTGCATTACATCTATAACTTTAATCTCTACAGCAGTGGTTCCCAACCTGTGGTCCGTGGACCACCAGTGGTCTGCAATAACTAAAATATGGTCAGCCGTCTCACCTTTACTATACCAACTGGTCTCGTAAAACCCTCTTATAGTGCCGAGGCTTATTAAATATGGTTTTCTGTGGGCGAGCAGATAGTGACTACTGGATTGCATATGTTCTATATCAGAAACTGGAGCTGATGTGGTCTGTCCAATGCAATTTTCTGAATCAGCACCCAAAATAACCAAACTGAAT